GTAGATGACTGGATTAAAAAGATGTGGTACATATACACGATGCAATATTACTCAGCAATCAAGAAAGATAAACTCATGCCTTCTGCAGCAACATAGATGGAGCTGGAAGGGATCATGCTTAATGTAATAAGCCAGAAAGGAAAAGAAAAATACCAGATGGTTTCACTCATAGCAGAGGGAGCAGGGGGGAAATAATAATAATAACAATGAATAACTATATACCAGAGACATTTTATGGCGGTGGAGTGGGGAATGGGATCAAAAATTGGGGGAGATGTGCACTGGACTATGGTGATGGCACATGGGTGAATTGGTGATGGGAAGTCCATAGGAATTACAACTGAGATGGGAAAAGGCACAAAATGATGTCAAAATAAACTATTATAATCAAAATTTTAAAAATAAGAACAGGAAAAATAAATCTTTTAAAAAATAATAAAATTATAATTTTAAAAAGTTGTTTAGCAATGTTTCTTTTACAGATGCAAGTTGAGAGTTATGATCTATTCAACACACAGGAACTGTGACGAGCTTGTGATTACGTGGTACATAATGGTACTGGCCAGTTTGTGTTTGACAGATTTGACCTGCTCAAATCTGTGTTTATTCTTTGACCTGCTCAGGACTGTGTGTCCTCTTCTATAAAATGAACATTTTAAACCAAACACAAATTCCATTCTAGTTAAAAAAGACTACACCCAGAAGAAATAACTCAGGATCGTAATTTCTCTCCTGAGAAAGGCCTACTTCCCTTCTTACCTGGTGAAAATCTGAAATATGATTGTGAGAAGCAGACCAGCAATGGACAGCGCACATCCGGCAGTGGATAATTTGTCTAGTGGCTCAAGATAAACATATTTCTTTTTGAAACTCTGGAAAATAAGGCAAGACTCATATTTCTGAAATGGCTATGAAAGTCAACATCATTGGTCAAAATAACCAGGTAGTTGTCAAATAGCTCTTCTTTTTACACAACTTAATATATTTAAGAGAAAATTAATCAACTCCATATTTCTAAACCCTTTAACTGAAGTAGAGGCTTGAGAACAGTTAGAAAAATATATTTTTCCTTAATGATCAATATTTAAGTTGTTTTGCTTAGATCTAAATTGACTAGTTTTTTTCCCATTTATCAATTACATTATATTTATTTGTAACTATAATCCAAGGGGAAATCTGTATATCTAAGCTGATGAACTAAAAATAAAGTTGCAAAAATATTTTTATGGATATGGAGAGTGCTCATATTACTGGTTAATATATTTGGAAAGGAGGTAGCATTTTAATGGAGTATATCTACATCTTTTCAGTATTTTAGTGTACAGTCACAGAAAAGTATATTTTTCATGTCAGTATGTGTTCTTAGAAATCTGGAAGAGTGGGCTCTCTTTGTCACAACGGGTTAAAGCAAAACACTATGATGCTATCTGCAGCCACTGCAGCATGAGCTCAATACCCACCAGGGAGGTGACCCACATGGCACAGCAGACCTCTCCTGTCTCACCCACTGTCCCCAGTGTGTTTTAGTTGATCTGCCTGTTCTGCTCCCACTCTGTTTCTGGAGAATCTTCTCACTGCCCCTGCACCTCTGGCCTGTACCCCAGTTCTTGTATGCATAAATAAATATCTTAAAAAAGAAAGATATAAAATGTTAAATTTTTCTTTGGTGTTTTATAATGGAGAAAGCAGATTTCTACAATAGTTAGAAAATAATTAAAATCAATTAAAATAGGAAGACTTGGTCATTAAGATAAGAAAACTATTACTATCTAAAAAGTTTATAAAGCAAGTGTCCTAAATTGGATAGTTTATGTTGTACCAGAATGCTCTGATCTCCACGTGCTCTCCAAACATGACTATAATATAATAGGGTGGGCCCCAAGAAAAGGGGAGGTTCAGGTTCCCTGCCCCAGCCAAGAGAAGGGTGGAGCTAAGGAGAGAAGAGAGGA